CTGTAGGAGGAGGGCTTCCTCAGGGAGTATGTCTGAACCCTGAGAGGGAGGCTATATCCTCAGCCTCAGCCTGACTTCCTGGACCACCTGTTGCTTGAAGCCACAGGAGTGGCCCCTCCTAATTTGATTTCCTGTCCTCCATAGGATCTGCTTCCCAGTGCAGGTGAACCGGCTGCCTCGGGAGACCCTGCTGTGTGCCACTCTCTATGCTCTGCCCATCCCCCCACCGGGGAGCTCCTCAGAGGCCAACAAGCAGCGGCGGGTGCCTGAAGCCCTGGGCTGGGTCACTACCCCACTCTTTAACTTCAGGCAGTATGTGAGCCCCAGGGTACAGCTTCTTGGCCTTGGGAGGGGAAGAGGGGGGGACAGAGAAAGGGGCCTGGCTGCTGCACTGGCCAGTGTGCCTTGGGAGAGTTGGCCATGTGGGGCTCACTGGTGAAATCCAGAGGATACCCAAGCACAGAACTGGTGACCAGGAGTACTGATGTAACCAAGAGCCTCTGAGTGGTTCTGGTGGCACAGGACCATGTTGAGGATACATGGAAAAGCAATGCTTGGGTAATAGATCATCTGGTCTTGTCATTGGAAGAACCTTAGAGGTCATCTAGCCCAGCCTCCCCACCTCACCAAGGCATCCCTGCCACCAAGTCATCCAGACCAGGGTGTGGTTAGCTCACAAGTCCTCTTGGAGGGTGTGAGCTTTTATAGGACTTGGGAGAAGGAAGAGGCTATGGTCTATGGGGAGACTGAGAGAGTGGAGTTGGATGGTGGCTTCAAACAGAAAAGGCAGATTTTTGGATTGGGGGAGCAGGAGAAATACTCTCTGCTTAGCCATTTTAGCAGCTCTTCCCACTGTCCTTCCTTCTTAGGGTCCTGACCTGTGGCCGGAAGCTTCTGGGTTTATGGCCAGCAACACAGGAAAATCCCAGTGCCCGTTGGAGTGCACCTAATTTCCACCAGCCAGACAGTGTCATCCTGCAGGTGAGGCTTTAGCCTTTCCCTCCCACTCACCAGCAAGACCATTCCAGTCAACTCTACATTTTTCCCCTTGAGATTGGGGCTGGGACAACAGGAGAGAGTGCTAGAACTTCAAGCATGGGAGGATGATGTGACTGAAGCAACTGAGTGAATATGGTTAGATGTGGAGTGTGAGGTGAGCTCCGGGGTATCCATCTCCCATCTCCTGGAGGTTAAATTGATTTCGTGGAGCTTGAAGATGGGGTCTGAGACCCTCTGCATTCAGGGCTCAGCTTCTGAGTCCCTTGTATTGAATCCTCATACTTCTAAGTCTGATCAAACCTGACCTGTGCCCTCTTGGAGCCTGAGGGGACACCTTTCCCCCTTCCGGTGACTCAGTGCTTTGGCAGGATGGACCCATTCTCCAGGGAGAAGAGGAGGAGCTGGTCACGCCCAAGGTCTAGTTCCTAGTTCCCAGCTTCCCTTTCTTGTGGTTATGAGATACCTTGTGTGAATGTTGACATAGAATGAAAGCTCCCTGAGGCAGGTTTTTTTTTTTTTTTTTGAGACAGGATCTCTGTCACTCAGGCTGGAATGTAAAGGCATAATCTTGGCTCACTGCAACCTCTGCCTCCCACGCACAAACCAGCCCCCCACCTCAGCCTCCCAAGTAGATGGGACTACAGTTGCATACCACCACGCCCAGCTAATTTTTGTCTGTCTTATTTACGACTCTATGCCCAGAGCCTAGAAAATGCCTGGCACATGTTAGGATTCAATAGATATTTGTTGAACGAGGCTGGGTGCGGTGGCTCATACCTGTAATGCCAGCACTTTGGGAGGCCGAGGCAGGGGGCTCACCTGAGGTCAGGAGTTCGAGACCAGACTGGCCAACATGGTGATACCCTGTCTCTACTAGAAATACAAAAATTAGCTGGGCCTGGTGGTGCGTGCCTGTAATGCCAGGTACTCAGGAAGCTGAGGCATGAGAATCGCTTGAACCTGGGAGGCAGAGGTTGCAGTGAGCTGAGATCACACCCCTGCACACTCCAGCCTGGGTGACAGAGCAAGACTCTGTCTCAAAAAAAAAAAAAAAAGATATTTGTTGAATGAAAGAAAGTAGAGCTCTTTTGGAGAGTTGGCTCACTCAGCTCTGATACTTTAGTAGGATGAACATCTGGTGGCATAGAGTAGGGACCAAGTGTCCCAGGGCCTTCTCCCAGTTGTGGTTCCGCCTCCCCTCTGGCAGCAGTGCCCTCTGGCACCCCATGGAAGGCTCCCCGGACTCAGCCTGGATGTACCCCATGGTTCAGCTGGGTGACACTTCTGTTCAGAGTTCTGGCTGGGGCTTGTCCCCACACCCCTCACCAAGGTGCATCTCCACCGAACCTCTTCCTCACGTGTCCATTCTTTTTCTCTTTTTGTTTCTCTTTCATTTTTTCTGAGAGTTATAGCTGGAAAGGACTTCAGAGATCACCGAGTCTACCTGGGTTATTTTACAAAGAACCTGAGGGAAAGTGAGGGAGGGACAAGGCCGGAATGCTGGGGTGAGAGAAAGAAGCTGGGAGTCCACACGCTGCCTGTTCTCTCCCCTCACGTCCTTGATCCCATCCCCCAGATTGACTTCCCCACCTCGGCCTTTGACATCAAGTTCACCAGCCCCACTGGAGACAAGTTCAGCCCCCGCTATGAGTTTGGCAGCCTCCGGGAAGAAGACCAGCGCAAGCTTAAAGACATCATGCAGAAGGAGTCCCTCTACTGGTGAGGCCCGGGCCCCCACTGAATCTGCCATGTTTCATCTGACCTCCCAGCATTGAGTCTCTGACCTGCTTTGGGAGTGGAGGTGGGAAGGGGAGGCAGCCCCCAGGCTTTTCTCCATCAGCTGACACTAGGAAAAGTAGAGAGGTCAAGGTCAGGAAGTTAGATCTGAGAGTACCCAAGTCCCCACCCCAGGGACTTGGTCCATACTCAGCTACCCAGGAGGACCAGAGCTCTGCCCCACGTCCCAGATGTGCTGCCTACTACCTTCTGTCCACTGGGGCAGCTGGCCCCACCACCCTGCCCCCACCTCCTGCCCTCACCTCCTGCCCCTTCCACACCAACAGCCTTTGAATTTTTCTGGCCCTGTCACTTTCCAAAAAGGATCAGGTGTCAAGGCAAGCTGGCAGCTCTTAAGGGTAAGCGAGTCCAGGCTGATCTCATCCTTGGGGCTGCTGCTTTCACAGGATTGGAGAAGGAGAGGTGAGAACAGAACTGGAGGAGCTGGAGGGACCCGGTTCCCCTGCCTGCTCTCTGTTTACTTCTCTGGCTCCTGCACAGCCCTGTGCGTGTGTTGTGTGTGTGGGGACATGAGAGAGACGGGGCTCATCTCTGTCCCTTATGAGTAGCTGGAGTAGCTGAGTGACCACAGACCTCCCTTCCCCCATTCTGCCCACTACACTTCATTAGCCCCTCAGCTTCCTTCTCCCATTAGACACCTGATCTCAGGCAAGGCCCAATTAGCTGCAGGTCCTTGAAAGCCGACAGCTGGTCCCTGGAGGCCCCAGGAGGCCTCTCAGCAGCCCAGACCCTGGTGTTGGGGGACCACTGCCCTCTGGTGGTTCTACTTGAGAGTGGTACCCTCAGGGCATCCGCAGGAGGGGTAGCAGATTCGGGTGCCCTTGGCCCATGCATTCTGCCTCCAACCAAGATGTCAGTGAGTTGGGATCAAAGATAGGATTTGGGCCCTGGTTCCCGAACTTTGCTTCATATTGGAATCACCTGGTGATCTTTGGCACATACCGATGGCTGGCTTCCCCAACCATTCGGACTTAACTGGTATCAGGTGTGACTCAGGCATGGCGAGGGGGTTCACCAAGCCCCTCAAGTGGCTATCATATGCAGCAAAGCTTGGGAACCACTGAATTGCAGTGTGTGCAGCACTCCCTTGAGGGTAAGTACTGCACCCCCTGGCTGATGCTCTTCTCTCCCACTGCCCCTACCCTCTCACCACCTTCTCCTTTCCCCATGCCCACCAGGCTCACTGATGCTGACAAGAAGCGCCTGTGGGAGAAGCGATATTACTGCCACTCGGAGGTGAGCTCGCTCCCCCTGGTGCTCGCCAGCGCCCCCAGCTGGGAGTGGGCTTGCCTGCCTGACATCTATGCTCTCCTGAAGCAGTGGACCCACATGAACCACCAGGATGCCCTGGGGCTCCTGCATGCCACGTGAGTTGTAACATCCGCCTTTTCTGACCATGTGTCCTTGTAGAAGCCAGAGCACGGCACTGCCCATCACTGATCTGAGCCAGCCCTGGGGAAAATGGTAAAGTGGGTGTGGATATTCAGGGATTTTCCATTTCTCCTTTTTGCTTTTCCTTTCTCATTTCCCCCCCAATGTTACATTACGGTCATTTTTAAAACATACAACAAAATTGAAAATTGCACAGTGAATACCCATGTGCCCACCACCTAGATTCTGTCGTTAGCATTTGCTCTGTGGGCTGGATTGCATACATTTCATTTATCCATCCCTGTATCCATCCATCTATCCATCTTATTTTTTATGCTTTTTTTTTTTTTTTTTTTTTTTTTGAGACAGGGTCTTGCTCTGTCACCCAGGCTGGAGTGCAGTGGCATGAATATGGCTCACTGCAGCCTCGACCTCCTGGGCTCAAGCACTCCTCCTGCCCCAGCCTCCCAAGTAGCTGGAAGAACAAGTGCACACCACCACACCTGACTAATTTTTAAAATTTTTTTGTAGAGATAAAGTCTTACTATGTTGCCTAGGCTGGTTTCAAACTCTTGGGTTCAAGTAATGCTCCCTCCTTGGCCTTCCAAAATGCTGGGATTACAGGTGTGAGCTACCATGCCCAGCCTTTTTATACGTTTTGAAGTAAATTACAGACACCCTTAAACTCCCTGCTTTGGCATGCACATCATTACCTAGAGCTCAGTGTTTGTTCTGTGTTGTTTTTCTTTTGAGGCAACATTTACACATAAGCAAATACCCAAAGTTTACCTGTACACTGGCTGAGTTTTGACAAATGCATACACCTGTGTAACTGAAATCCTTATTACTTAGTTTTATTTTAACCATCGTCTCTCCCCTCTTTCTCTTGAAGGGGACCCAAAGCTTCTCTGGGGACCCAAAGCTTCCAGTCTCAGATCCGTTAGGGCTGCCTTTTCTAGATGGTACCCAGGATTTCCTGCTTATTTCTCACCACTCTCAGTAATAAAAATGTACCTATTCACGTGACTTGCCTTAAGGAGTTTTTGAGCCAATGGTTTTGTTAATGTCTGCTAAACTAATTCTGCCAATGTTTATTGGCTTATATAAAATTCTGTGATTTTCTGTCATTTGCCTGGTACATTTTGCATTAAAGGATGTTACCAAGACAAAATAATGCTTTTACCCACATCAGGGCCCTCCAGTGGTGGGAATTTCTGACACAGTGGGAGTCAAGAGAGAACTCTTTGGGAGTAGGATTGAGGACTTTGTCCCGTTTTCTTTAAATCATCTAAGGAGCGAGAGTGGCTACCCAATTGCTCCCCCATGGCTCAAGGTAGACTCTGACCATGAAGAAGGCTCATTCCCAAGGGTTGCTATCCAGGGAAGGTGCTAAGGATTCTTCTAGTGACTTTGGCAGAACTAGGGCCATTGCCTTTTCTTTCTCCATGCCTCTGAAGCCCAGGTGTGAGGGTGCTTGGCTCACAGCTGTTCCTCAACCTGCAGCTAGGTTGTCAGGGCACTGGGCTCTGTTTTGCAGCTTCCCGGATCAGGAGGTGCGTCGTATGGCCGTGCAGTGGATTGGCTCACTCTCGGATGCTGAGCTGCTGGACTACCTGCCCCAGCTGGTACAGGTGGGTGGATTGGTTCTCCCTCCAGTTTTGCTGGTCTCATCCCCAATATCCCAAGTGAGTCTGCCCCTTAGAAACCAGAGATCCCAGTGCAATAATAATAGGTGTAGGTTACAGGCAGTTTATGAAGCTTCATATTTTCTTTCTCCCTTTCTCCGAAACAGGCCCTGAAGTATGAGTGCTACCTGGACAGCCCGTTGGTGCGCTTCCTTCTGAAACGAGCTGTGTCTGACTTGAGAGTGACTCACTACTTCTTCTGGTAAAACTGCATGTAGAAAAGTGGGAGGTAGACACGTGTCTTTCACACAGGAGTATTTCACTCTTAGGCACGCAAGGGCAAGGAGCTGAGTTGTCCGAGCTTCAGTATGTTGCTGACTTACCCTGTGGCCTTGGCCCAGCATCTTTTCCTCAGGGGTCTCAGCTCACCCCCATGTAACATAGTGAGGATTATGTTATCCTGTCTCTCCTCTATCCACACATGGCAGAAATAGGAAGGGGAAACAAGATGCAGAGGGGCTGTGAACTCTACTTAAAGACAGAGTGAGGGCACAGACTGGGGTATGGGCACAGGTGAACATCTCCATATAAGCCGTACATACAGAGTGTATTTTCCCTCCCAAGTTCAGGGGGGTTTTGCAGTGAGTTGGAGCTGGACTTGACTCTGTCTCCCCCTGCACCCTTGCCTTTAACCCCTGGAGTGCTCTGACTCCGGACTCCCTCTGCCTTGCAGGTTGCTGAAGGATGGTCTCAAGGACTCTCAGTTCAGCATCCGCTACCAGTATCTGCTGGCAGCCTTACTGTGCTGCTGTGGCAAGGGGCTGAGAGAGGAGTTTAACCGCCAGTGCTGGCTTGTCAATGCCCTGGCCAAACTGGCCCAGCAGGTCCGGGAGGCAGCCCCATCTGCAAGGCAGGTTAGTGGGGTGAGGCTGCCTCTACCCATTTCTCATGCAGGGCTTTGGCAGCCAGTTTCTTCTTAGGAATCCTGAACAACAAGATTCCACGTGATAATTTTTGATTTCGGAGCTGGGAGCAGATGACTCTGGAACCTGTAGGCCGTAAACAGGCAGTCCACAAGCTGGATACAGCCCGTGGATGTGTTTTGTTTGTCCTGTAAAATATTGAAACTTATTTAGCTGTTTGTTTTAAAGGCTAAGCACAGTTGTGTAAGTTGTTCACTGCACAAGAGCACTCAGCCAGAAGGGGCAAGTGAGGGCTGAAATCCAGCCATATTTTGTTCACCATGCTGTGACCCATGGCTCAGGCCCGATGCCACCCAGAGAGGACACCTTTATCTGTTTGTATGAAGGCATTATAACCAGTGAGCGGTGTCCCTGGTTAATGACATTTAAAAATTGAGAGATTTTGTATCAACGTCCAGATTGTTAGCTTTTCTTGGCAAAAGCCTAAGCAGCTCTTCCCCCTCGACAGACAGCCCACCCTGTCTGTGCACTGTGGCCTGCTTCATGCTGTTCTGCCATCTGCTCCCCTCTAGAGCTATCTAGTATTGCTATTAGTGCACTGTCCCAGGCTGGGGTGTAGGGGGTCCTCCTCCTTAAGGATCTTCTGGAGGGTGTCCACACTTCTCAGGGGGTGGTTTTCATACCAACTACTACTGACAATCCACCCCTGGGAGAGGTCTGGTTCTCAGTATGGACCCTTCATTTCACTTCTGCTGTACTCCTCCCCTTCTTTCCAGGGAATACTCCGCACGGGCCTGGAGGAGGTGAAGCAGTTCTTTACCCTCAATGGCTCATGCCGCCTGCCACTCAGCCCCAGTCTGCTGGTTAAGGGAATCGTGCCCAGGGTGAGTGACTGGTAGGTTTGGGGCTCTCAGAGTGGGAGGGCTCGGTGGAGGTGAGGTCCTCACTAACCAGGCACGCAAGGGCGAGGAGCTGAGTTGTCTGGGCTTCAGTATGTTGCTGACTTACCATGTGGTCTTGGCCCAGCATCTTTTTCTCAGGGGTCTCAGCTCACCCCCATGTAACATGGTGAGGATTATGTTATCCTGTCTCTCCTCTATCCACACATGGCAGAAATAGGAAGGGGAAACAAGATGCAGAGGGGCTGTGAACTCTGTTTAAAGACAGAGTGAGGGCACAGACTGGGGTATGGGCACAGGCGAGCATCTCCATCTAAGCTGTAAAATAACAGAGATTAGGAAGAAAGGCCTCTTTGTGCCTCTTTCCATTCCTCATGTGTATGGACTTTTAGAAGCCTGACAGCTCGCAGGGTAGAGGAATTGGGTTGGAGGCTGGGCAGCTGGGCAGGTGCCTTTCTCTGATGATGTTGGGGATGAAGTCAGGGGTGGTGGTGGTGATAGCAGTCATCTGTCATTTATTGAGCACTCTCTGTGCCCGGCCCTGTTCTGAGTGCTTAACGTTGGTTATGGCATTTCATCCTCACAACTCTTAGGACATGGGTACTGTTGGGAGTCCCCTTTTACAGAGGAGTAAACTGAGGTATAGGTGGGACATGTGACTTACCCGAGGTCACACAACTAGTAAGCGGTGTGCAGAATGAACTAACAGGATGAGAGGTCAAGTGCTGGAACTGAGGTCATAACAAACTGAATTGGGATGATGACTGTAACGAGAGAAGGAAGGAAGTTGGGTTCCTGAGAAATCCGGAAGAAACAATGAACAGGTCTTGGGTGGACTGGCAGCAGGAGGGAGGCAGCATCTTGGTCTGAAGTGGAGAGGTCGTTATCCTTTCCTGGCACAGGCCACTCTGACCCTCGTCACTATCCTTTTCACCATGGCAGGACTGTTCCTACTTCAACTCCAATGCTGTCCCCCTCAAACTCTCCTTCCAAAATGTGGATCCCCTGGGTGAGAACATCCGTGTCATCTTCAAGGTGAGAATACTTTACTCAAGCCTGGTGGACCAGGGTGGGAGAGAGAAGGAGGCAGCCTAGAGTGGCATTAAGTAGCTCCTGGGTGGTTCTCTTCCCACCGTTCCATACTGTCTTAATGTAGGAAAGATGATCAGGTGAAAAAGGATTTAGATGAATTCTGCATGGCCCCAGAGGGCTAAGAACAGAGTGTTAGGTATAGGGAGGCAACTCACAGCTCAATATCCCGAGTGCTTTCTAGGAGGCAGAGCTCCCTCAACAATGGGTTGGGTAAGATGGTGATCCGCTTGTCCCTTGGGTATTCAGGCAGAGGCTGAATGTCACGTGGCAGGGCTGCTGAAGAGGAAATTAATATATCAGGTGCAGGTCCAACTAGATGAACCCTGAGGTCCCTTCTAACTCTGATGCATCCACAATTCTGAGAAGTAAATGATAGTCTCAGAGCATGTAATCTAATGGGAGAGACAAAATACATGCACGTGACTTAGTAACTTATACATTTGCTGTGTGCAAGTTCCAAATCCAAAGTGTAAACATTCAAGTTTAAAAAAGGCCTGATGACCTGGGCGTGGCACCTCATGCCTATAATCCCAGCACTTGGGGAGGCTGAGGCATGCAGATCACTTGAGGTGAGGAGTTTGAGACCAGCCTGGCCAAGATGGTGAGACCCCATCTCTACTAAAAATACAAAACAAAATTAGCTGGGCATGGTGGCAGGCACCTGTAATTCCAGCTACTTGGGAGGCTGAGGTGGGAGAATCACTTGAATCCGGGAAGCAGAGGTTGCAGTGAGCCAAGATTGTGCCACTGCACTCCAGCCTGGGTGACAGAGTGAGACATTGTCTCAAAAAAGAAAAAAAAAAAAAAAAAGCCTGATGGTCAGAGGGGCTACATGCAGAAGTGGACCGTGAATTTAATTCAGATGGGGCCGTGGGATTGAGGGACAAGCTGGAACAACACATGGGCAAACTGGGAAGGTTCCTGGGCCATCTTTGACCTGGTCTGAGCTGAGTGAGCAGGTCAGGGGTATGAGGCCAGGGAACTCCCTGTCACTGATAGTTTAGGGTCAAGGTTGAGCACTTGGGAGACCTGAGAGCTGGGGAGGCAGTGGAGACGGGATCTGGTCACTTTCTCTCTCCATCCAGTGTGGGGACGACCTTCGCCAGGACATGCTGACGCTGCAGATGATTCGCATCATGAGCAAGATCTGGGTCCAGGAGGGGCTGGACATGCGCATGGTCATCTTCCGCTGCTTCTCCACCGGCCGGGGCAGAGGTCAGTTGGGAGTGGGAGTGAGGGTGGTGGACGGGGGACCCCTTTGCTTATTGTCCTTCCGCCCATTGCCAACACAAACTGTGTCCTCCTCCAGGAAAGTGAAAAGGGCAAGATTATTTCATGAGAAGCTGTGGGATAGCCTTAAAAGGGAGGCATGGGAGAGAGACTGTTACAAAGTGAAACAGACTTGGCGCCGTAACAGCCAAGCGTGTTGTGTAGACTTTGGATCCTGATGAAAACAAACCAATTGTAAGGAAATAGTTTTTGGGCCAGGCGTGGTAGCTTATGCCTGTAATCCCAGCACTTTGGGAAGCTGAGATGGGAGAATTGCTTGAGCTCAGGAATGTTTGAGACCAACCTAGACACAGAGCGAAACCTCATCTCTAATAAAAATGATAAAAAAATTAGCCGGGTCTAATGGCATGTGCCTGCAGTCCCAACTCTTCGGGAGGCTGAGGCAGATGGATCGCTTGAGTCCAGGAGTTCGAAGCTGTAGTAAGCCATGATGGTGCCACTGTACTTCAGACCAGGTGACAGAGTGAGACCCTGTGTGAAAAAAAAAAATGTGGATATATATATATATATATATATATATAGAGAGAGAGAGAGAGAGAGAGACACAATGGGGGAAATTTGAATATAGATTGAGTTAAAGAGTGATTGTTAATTTTTTGGATGTGACAATGGCATGGTGTCTTTGTTAATTACATTTGAAATATTTATGAGTGAAATAAAGTATCTGGGATTTGCTTTAAAATATTCCAACCAAGGTGGCGGGGAGTGGAGAAATAGGGTTGTGTGATTAGCAAACAAGATTAGCAAAATGTTGACAATTTTTGAAGCTGGGTGATCGTTACATGTATTTTTAAATTCCTATAGTAAAAGCTAAAAACAAAGGGAGCAGCAGCTATGAACTGGAGAGACCAAAAAGTCACAGTATGGAATAGGAAATGTGGGAATGCCCTTCCTTTCTATGGTTATTCTTTTCCTGTTATTATCAGACTTAGTCCAAATGCCTTACAGCTTAATTTATAGAGGAGCATGAGCACCGTCCTTGTAGTCCTCTCCCTGCAGTCCCCTTCATTCTGGTCTGGAACGTGACCCCCATGTCTCCCCTCACAGGGATGGTGGAGATGATCCCTAATGCCGAGACCCTGCGTAAGATCCAGGTGGAGCATGGGGTGACCGGCTCGTTCAAGGACCGGCCCCTGGCAGACTGGCTGCAGAAACACAACCCTGGGGAGGACGAGTATGAGAAGGTACGGTTAGGGGTGGGGAGTGCATCTGGGGTGCGTGTGCCTGATGCCAGCACACAACTCTTTAACCACAAGACCCGCACTTGCTCAGAGAAGACAGCTCAGCTTTGTTGGCAGAAGGACCTACCCTTTCTTGGTTGACTGGTGCCTCCAAATACCTAGGGGTGACTCACTCAAATGCCTCTTGTAAGCTGGCTGAGAAAATCCCCCGATACTGGACTGAGAAACTTTCATTGAGTTCCCCTGGCAAATTAAGCCTTGGAGGAGGCACCAGCTTTTGAGAACCTACCTGTATCCCTCCCAGTTGTGGATCTTGGTCAACTTCCCTTGTGTTCTTAGAGGGTTCAGTGGTACTTTCTAGAATAAGAGTTGGTTGGAAGAGACTTTAGAGATCCCTTTATTCCAGCCCCTTCTTTTCATAGCTGTGAATTAAGACTCACTCACTCACTCCTAGTTATGGAGCTGATGTGTGGCAAGCCTGTAACTCAAAGCTAAGATTGAGGTTAGATATGAGACAGACGAGTGGAAAGAGGGCTGGCTGGTTCCTGATGAATGAAGATTAGATTAGAAGTGGAGCTTTCCTGGGTGGTAGGGCCTTGGTAGCCTGCTAGGGTCCATGGGCTGTTCCCGGCCTCACAACTCTAGTCTCTCGGTTAATTAGGTTGAGGGAAGTAGGGACACTGGGAAGGAACAAATCACAATAACCAAACTCACAAGAGACTGGCTATATGCCAGAATGCTAATTCATATAATTTTAACTTCAAGGGACCCAAATACTAATTTATATTGATCAATGTACTTTATCCTGGAGGGAAAACCAGCATGGGCAGCCAAGGTATAATCAGAACATTGTTCAGTGAATGTGTAATTAGATGATCTTAAATGGCTTTCAGTGTTTGTGTTCCCCAGGGCTTAATTCCTGGTCTGCTGGGCTCTCTTTGCACTCTTCTTGTGCCAGCTCATCATCTTATAACTTCAACTACCACCTAAATGTTGATGACCTCTGAAGCCATTCCTCTAGCCCTCTTCCCTTCCTCCAGGTGGCTCTATAGCCACCTTCTTGCTGGACTTTTCCACTTATGTTTCACCCACGTCTCAAACTCAGTGTAGGCAAAACAGCCCGCTGTCTCTCCTTTGCCTCTTGAAACCTGCTTTTTGTGTTTGCTGTTAGTCAATTGTGTGACTCTCTCTGTGCGTTTACCCAGGCAAAGTCACAGTCTTCCTGATGCTTCCCTCTATCTCACTTCTGTACCAAGCTCTGTTTATCCTTCTTCCCATCCATCTCTCAAACCTGTCCTCTTCTTTCCATTTTGTTACCATTGATTTTGTTCAGCTCTTTGCTGTCGGTCCCCTGAACCACTGGAATGCCTCTCTTCCATCTAGAGCCAGCTTCTGCTTGATTTCAGAGGTTTGTTTTTTTTTTTTTTAAATGCAGATAAGTTCTTCAAAGCCTCCCTGTGTCCTAACAGATAAGTCCAACATCCATAGCATTGCACACAGAGCCTTTTACAATCCAGCCCTGCTGACTCCTGTAATCCCATCCACTGCAACCTACCATCTTATGCTAACCTATGCTCCAACTAGGTTACTAGCTGGATCATAGGCGAGGGCTACTACTTTCATTTCCGCAGTACTGTAGGCAATACTATTTCCTTTACCCAGAAAGTCATTTCTTCCCTTCTCATTCCTCAAAACTCTGCCACTCTATGCTATACATTTCAAGACCCTCTACCTTTGGAGAGGAGTAATGATTTTTTTCCTTTCTGCTACCAACCCCCACATATACTTACTCTTTATACTAACATGCATTTTTCAGATATTAAACACCCATATGCAGAGGCACTGTACTAGGTGCTGGAGTTATGATTACTCCCTGCCAATGTAATAGTCATATATGTGTAAATGTATGGAAAAATACTAAATAATAAATGTACAAAAATATAAAAATAAATGCACAGAAGAATGTATGAGAATACACACACACAGAAACTAACTCTGCATGTTCATGTTTAATCTCAGTCTTTCAAAGATAGCTTCTCTGCCCTTCTAACCTTTCTGCAAGAATAATGCTGGTAGTTTGTTTCTTTTTGAGGCAGGGTCTCACTCTCTCACCCAGGCTGGAATACAATGGCATAATCACTGCAACCTCCACCTCCTGGGTTCATGTGATCCTCCTGACTCAGCCTCCTGAGTAGCTGGGACTACAGGCGTGTGCCACCATACTCGGTTAATTTTTCTATTTTTATGCCATGTTGCCCAGGCTGGTCTTGAACCCCTTGGTTCAAGAGATTCACCCACATCAGCCTCCCAAAGTGCTGGGATTACAGGCATGAGCCACCACCCCCAGCAATGCTGGTAGTTTCATCTGATGACTTCCAGAAGAAA